CCATTCGGCCAGCACGTCTGCGGACGGCGCGCAGCCAAGGATGCCCGGGTGAATCAGGCCGGCGAAGCGCACGCCCGGGATGTGGCGGCTGGAGCAGTATATCCCGTCAAAGTCCCAGATGGCCTTGGCCGCGCGCGGGTAGTGTCTGTCGAGGAAGCCGCCGCCGTTGTTGCGGTCAAAGACGCCGGTGAAGCCCCAGGGAGCGTGGTCGAACGGCTGGATGTCGGTGATGTTGACGACGAGGAGGTCGCCCGGCTCGGCGCCTTGTATGTCAAAGGGTCCCGTCAGGTAGTGGATTTTGGTGAGATCGACGTCGCGGACGTCGTCTGCGCTGTCATTGTTCCCGATCTGCCCTCCCGTCCAGTCCAGACATTCGATCTTGACCGTCTCGCCCCGCTTGATGGTACCAATCGAGGGAACTGTTTGTGAAGCGTTTGTGTTAAATCTGGATATCCGAGGGGCCACGTAGTCTCCGATTCACTGTTTGAACCTACTGTCTGGGTGCCAGCGGTTGTGTAAGCCGGGCTGTTCTGCGGCCGGGACATCAAAGGACACCGTCTGTGCGGTACGGATCTTGCCAGGCATGGCAGAGGATAGTATCGATTAATCAATTCGGACAGAGATAAAAAAGCTCACAAATAATCTCTTTGCGTACAAGAGACCAGGCGATGAGTCGAGAGTGGAAAGATGGCGAGCGACGTGGAACGCCTTGCCCGTCATATATTGATTTGATCCATTGGAAATCAACTCGCGGGGTTCCCAACTTTCAAGCCTCCTTTCACCCTCTAGTCCTGTTACTAGCACTGTCAATCCTTTTACCCCGCAAAATGAGCGGCAGTTATTCCGTTCGCCCCCCCAAGCCGATCTGCTGGTTTGGGCTGTTATCTGTGGTCACCGTGGCCGCCATGGCCTCATTGGGCGTCTCAAGGCCGAGTGTGTCGAGGTTGTGTGTCGGTGATTCCAAGAACACTACGTGTCTGGTCCGCCAAGCCGACCGAGTAGCAACGGTCGGTCGAGCGGCATAAAGGCAGACGCGACCGTGATAACACGGCCGGAGTGTGATTATCGGAATCCATCTGTTTCAAGTGGGCTTTTGCATGGGGTCCATGACTCCATGTCGTTCAGATAAGGACGTTTCAGCGTTTCAGAGGATCAGACGAGTTGGTTATCTGTGGCACGACAACTCTTCAACGATGGATCCGATACTACATACACCGCGTATAAAAGGAACTCCTGTGGCCTTTATTTGACACAACTTGATCTATAACAATCTATAACGGGAGCTATTCTATGGAAAGCGTGGTAACGAGTGCGTCCATGTCTGTAAACACCAGACCTCTTCTACATGCAGCAGATATACGCAACGGCGGTCCCATCATGCCAACGCCTCCAGATGCTCTCACAGACAACCATCAAGACCCGAAAATCGCCTTGTTAAGGCAAAGCACAACCCCAGGCCCCGAAGTTGGTTTCGTGATGCAATCAAGCACAGCTCCGCTCTTAAACGGCCCCAAGGCATCGATACACTGGGGCAGTTGCGTCGTCAATTGATCACCGCTCACAGTAATGAGATTAAAGCAGGCCTCTGGCAGAGTTGGGATGCATATGTCTTTGAGCGCATCGCGGAGACATGCAACGACGCCACCTCCCAGTGTAGTCTGCACGATTGCGGCAGGGTTAAGACACTTCGCGGCAACACCACCGCCATATGAACCAATGGCCTTGGCGCAACCCTGGAGCTTGGACAGGCTGATGTCGAGTCCGTTCAGGCCGCCGAGAAGATCGCAATCGGGAGGCAAGGCCGATACACACGCCGGGCCAGCGGGTGCGCAGGTCGACAAACCCAACCCGGTGGTGCCGCGCAAGCAGGCAACAACGTCATCGCCGTCGAAGAAACCGCCGTCGAAGATACCGCCGCCGGAGAAACCGCCGCCGAAGAAACTCCCCTTCAAGCATTCGGATGTTTTTCCAACCGCGAATGGTCCCAGCTGAACGGTGCAAGCGGCTACGTTGGCGGCCAAGCTCACGCCATGTTGGCCCGCGAGGCCTGTACAAGCATCGGGCAACTGAGGAAGACACATCTCTCCTATTTTATCTTGCAGGCAGTTCACGACCTTCTTCCATGGAGAAAGCAGGTCAAGTGGCCCCAACACGAAACACTGAGACACATCTTTTGCAAAGGCTCCGAGTGCCTTGGTGCATCCCGCGGCATCTTGAAGAATGTTGAGATTGATGCTGCCCAGATTGGCCAGATCTTTACAGGGACGAGGAAGTCCTGTAGCACAGACCTTGGTCGGTGCAGCTGGTGAACAGGTAGAAGAGGTAGAAGAGGTGGAAGAGGTGGAAGAGCTGGTAGAGCTGGTAGAGCTAGCAGGATTAGAAGAGCCGGCAGAGGGAGAAGAGCTAGCAGAAGCAGAAGAGGTCAAAGAGGTAGTAGAGGTGGAAGAGCTAGTAGCGGGAGAAGAAGTAGAAGAGCTAGCAGAAGTAGAAGAGCTGGCAGGATTAGAAGAGCTGGCAGAAGTAGAAGAGGTCGAAGAGGTAGAAGAGCTAGTAGAAGTAGAAGAGCTAGCAGAGGTAGAAGAGCTAGCATCAGCAGAAGAGGTCGAAGAGGCCTTGGTAATGGTGGTCTCCGTGGCTGACGACGTGACAGTAGTCATGGGCGATGAAAGGGAGGCCGACAATGACTCAGATGGGCTTGTTTCGGCACTGCTAGAGGTCGCCGCCTGAGAGGTCTGCGAGGTTTCTGTCTGCGAGGTTTCTGTCTGCGAGGTTCCTGTCTGCGAGGTTTCTGTCGAAGATGCTTCCATATTTGAGCTCATCGACTGGGGGACCTCACTCCGGGAGGTCTCTGTCCGAGTAGTGTCCGCCGATGTTTCCCTCTGTGTGTTTATTGACTGAGAAGTTGCCGTCCGTGAGCTTCCCGACGAAAGGATTCCTGTCCGTGAGGCTTCCGTTGGTAATGTCCCCATCTGAGAACTTGATTCTGCAGAGCTTGTTGATGAACCGGAGCTTGTTGTCTGGGAGCTTTCTACTGCTGAGCTCTCTCCTGGGGACGCAGCAGACCGGGAGCTTGTAGGCTCGGAACTGGCAGTCCCGGAGGAGCTATTCGCAGTAGAGGAAGCAAAGGCAGGGCTCCATGTAGAGTTTCCAGAAGATGATGCTTCCGGCATGAGTGACACTGGGCTGCTATAAGGACTGGAGGCAGAATTGCTTGTCAGAGATATGGATGGCTTGCTGTTTGAGCTTCCAGGCCTGCTGATGGCACTCGGTTCGTCAGTATGGGAGGCAGCATGGTTGGTCTTGCTGTAGCCAGATCCGCTCGCTCCAGAGCCGGTTGGCCTGCTATTGCTGTTTCCAATATCACTCATCTGCGAGCTCTGTCCAGGAGTGCCGGCGGATTCTGCCTGCGTAGTCACTGTATTTAGTGGAGGAAGCTTCTCTGTCTCAGTGGGCTTTGCCGGTGTGCCATTCTCTAGACTGGTATGTTGTGTTAGTCCAGAATGCGTGGCGTTCGTCCGATATGAATCACTTCGTACCTTGTCATGGTAGGGCTGCCAGTATTGGTGATTGTAACGATTGTGGAAATATCCGTCGGAGCGTTTGTACAAGGGATGGTATTGGCATGATCAATCACCAAGTCCATATCATATGGACAGTGTGTCGAGACAAGAACAGGAGTTATGGTCAGGATCTGAGTGTGTTGCGTCTCCAAGGTACGTACACCATCTGGACAAGAGTCCATGCCGGGCACAGGACCGGCTCTGGCAGTACCATGATGCCAGGCAAGAACTGCTGCCGCCAAAAGACGGTAGGATATCATTGTCATGGCTGAGGTGTGTTGGTTATCAAGGCCAATCGACGGCTAGTCCACAAACTCCCGCGGCGTGATCAAACGAAAGACATTCAACAAATTGAAAGAATATCTCTGGCTTTCTCATAATCTTCATCAGAGTAGGGAATCTATCCTGTTTATATAATTGGCGTGTTGATTTGCAAAAATTGCGACGCACTGAAGTATCCGTAGCCCAGCCCGATACCCTCAGGTCCCAAGACTCAATGGTGCCGAATAGATAATCGTACGTTATTCCCGTGCGTGCATTTATAAAACGAGAAAATTTTGACCGGAATTGGAGAATCAATATTCATTTTCTGGTTCCTCTGGACCAATGCTCACCTTGGACATGCCAATAGTCTACGGCTGACACCATCCATGATCCACCCCCTTCCTTATGCGTCTTTATCAACAACAAAAGAGCAACAAAGCTAGTATTTGTAGAGTAAGTCAATTCTCAATAATATGTTACCATCTCAGAAAGCTCCCAGGGTGAAGTTGGTCAGCAAGCACAGAGCTCAAGACGGATCCGTCACTGCGAGCCAGCCCGCGAGTCATAATGTTGGCAAAGACTCCATGGTATGGACTACCAGGGGTCGAAGGGCTTTACCTGGAAAAAATTGGATCTTGACATAAGGCGATGACGGTTTGTGGACTCGCGCTGTTGCCCTACTCAGACATCGATACTTGACTAAAATGGATGTTCGATGTACTTCTAAGTGACGTTGCCTCGGGGTCTCTTTTAGGACACTCGACTCTAATTGTGTAAGTGATTCCCAAGTCAAAACTGAATTACGGCAATGACTCTTTGCTCTCATGGTGAATTATGAATTCAGGAACAGGTAACTCGCACGGTCTAGACCGACCCTTGGCAGGGCGGCTATTGCCCCGGAATGATACGAGACGGTGGCACGGATGCCATCTCTTCTTACGTTCATCTCTTTCCGGCGAATCAATATTCATCAACTTGGAAAAATCCCTGCGCGACTAGCCACATCCTCTGGTCTCTAGAAACATGAGTAGTATAAAGTAACCTGAATAACCCCCATCATAACTAGGAGAAACCCGTGTCTAACCTCATGGCTCCGTGTCAGCATTCTCTTCATCCTGTTCCACAGTTCACTAGGTGGTTTCTCTTAGCTTCTTTTCTCTTTATTTGCCTACTACCATGCGTTGCGGAACTGGCATTGTGGCAGCCCTGCCGCTCTTTTTGAGCGCCGCCGTCTTGGCTGGCTCACCAGATGAGGGCTGCTCTTCAACAATCATCAAGACTCTTGCTGAGACGACATCAATAATTGTGGCCCCTACGAGTATTTGTAACCAAATAGGTACTGCCAGACCAACTGAGAGCCTGGGAAGCCAGGGAAATCATGGTCATGGTAATAATCAGGACAAAGTGCCCGCTTCTTCAGGATCCGGTGACCATGACAGTGGTAATGGAAATGGTAACCAGAACGGCAATGGTTCTGGAAACGGCCAAAATAGCCCTGGAAATACCCCTATTAGTGGTCCGGGTTCCAACTTGGGATCCAGCAATGAGTTGGACAACGGTTCTGGCTCTGGCTCAAACAGCGACTTGGGTTCCAACTCTGGCCCTGGTAACGGTGTCAGTAGCAGCACTGGCTTCCGCCCAGATGAGGCGTCTTCATCTACTCATGGCTCGGGAAACAGCAATCGCCCTGAATCCGGCGCTGAAAATGAATCTGGTTGCGACTTGGGTCCCAGCCCAGGTAATAGTGATGGAGTCAGCAGCGGCACCGGCTCTGAGCCAGACGACGGCTCTGGACCTGGCAATAACTCTGGATCTGGCGATATGGAAAACGAATCTGGCAGCAGTTCGGGTTCGAATTCAAACTCAGCTCCTGGTAGTGGCATTGGCTCTGGCAACGGCCCCAAACCTAGCTACGAATCTGCCACTGGCAATGGACATGGTAGTGTTTCGGATTCCGACTTGGGTGCCGGCAACGGAATCGACAACAGTACAGGTTATGAATCTGGAAAGGGCTCCCAGCCAGGCTCTGGCTCTGGCTCTGATTCTGACAACCGCGGTGGGAATAGTAGTTCTGGCAACGAATCTGAAAATGGAGCCAGCATTCAAGCCGACAATTCAGGATCTCATAACTCGGGTACCGTGAACGACAAGTACAATAAAAGTGGCAACGGCAATGGATCTGGGAATCCCATGGGAACCGACGCAGCAAACGGCAGTGGAAACGGCTCCGGAGACGATGGATTCGGGAGCGGCTCAGGTGAAAATGGAAGCGGCAGTGGAAACGGAAATAATGCAGGACACAGTCATACCGATGGAAGTAACAGCATCGAGTCCGGACATGGATCTGGTGGTCCATCGGGGGGTGTTTCTGGTTCAGACTCGGGCTCAGGTTCCTCTGCTCATGGCTCTGGCTCAACGTACGGAAATGTATCAACTGCGACTCCTCCGGTAGTCACGGCTGGAGGGTCACCGAGCAGGTCAAGCGCCAGAGTTGCGTCATCCTTGGTTGGCCTGGCTGGTTTCCTCTGTCTTTTCTAAATGCCCAGAATGGTCACTTGGAATGGCTGTTCACTCGTAAACGGGTGGCAATACGTACTTTGCTAATACATGTCTGCGAGAGACTTTGAGCCTCATGCCGTTCGTTTCTCTGCGGTACACTTTCTAAATAGAAAAATGTCATTTGCATTCCTCTTTTCTCAGAGCCACTGCGTAAGTGCGAAACCGGAGGTTGGTGGCCGCCCAGCTGGACTCTTGGTAACTCGGTGGTTCTGGGACTTGGTCACGCCAGAATTTGTAAATTTGATCAACATCTTGGCGGAACAAAGTGCTCGGTCAAAGAACGGAATGCTCCTTCAGCATGGTCATGGTCAAGTTGAAGCCAGTTGCCAAGATCCCTGTTCGCCCAAGTCTCCCTATTTAGCCGCTGTGAATTCCTAGGAGCTGATCCACTCGCCAGCATCTCATGAATTCAATATGTAGTAAATGAAGGGTTCGAGTCATGAACTGCAATGACCAGGACCAGGCGAGTTTGTGGGTAGACTGTGGACTGATTGACCGATCGACTGACCCTTAGGCCGAGAGGTGAGAACGCGACCTAGACGTCCTATCTTTGTTGATATGAACTCGCCCACTTCAATTCGAATCATCTATTGACTAGTCCGCATATGTTCTGAACCGCTGCGTCTTGCGCCGACCGCCCGACCGACTTGATACTCGAGCGGCCCAACTCCGCGGCCAACAACATTGAATGGCCTGGTTGTTCAGCACCCTGCCGAGCTGGCCACTCCGACTTGCGCCATTTGATATCATTTCAGGGTTGCTATTACGTCACATGCAGAGACATGGTGTAAAAGACAGAACGCTCTGGTTATCTTTCCCCGCACACTTGGGATTGGGCCCCGGTTGCTCGAGTCAATTCCCGTGCAGACTTGCCAAATAAGGCAATTACAGTCTGACAATGGACCGGGGGGTTCAGTCGGGGTTTCCAGATTGCTGCTTCCCTGTCGTCGTATTGGCCCGGTGAAGAATGCATTGTGGTAGTACAGGCACTGGAATGGATGGATAAAACCCAAATCCTCTCTCGGCTCGTGCCTGATACTTTGATGCCGCTTTCAAAAGAAGAAGAATCATCAGCATAATTATCCAGACCCTCGGCATGTTTCTACACCACGCCAACTTCGCCCTGCGACTGCTTCTCGCAACCGCTGCTCTGGCCCCGGCGGTTCATGGTCAGACGCAATGCCGCAGTCGTGACGGTCCCAAGCTGGGAGCCGTCGCGTCAGAAAACAGCATATGCAGCAGAATAGGAACGCGCCTGCTGGAAGATGGCGGCAATGCCGTCGACGCTCTTGTCGGCACCGTGTTTTGTGTAGGCGTCACGAGCATGTATCACAGCGGAATTGGCGGCGGCGGCTTTCTCTTGCTGAGATCGCCAAACGGCACCTACGAGTTTGTCGACTTCCGGGAAACGGCGCCCGCGGCCGCCTTTGAAGACATGTACAAGGGAAACGTCAACGCAAGTATGTACGGCGGCTTGGCCAGGTACGTTGGCCTTGGGCGGCCCTGTCCCCGAGGCAAGACAGGAGTCTGGTTTGTCTAACATTGCCCCCAGCGGAGTGCCTGGCGAGTTGAGAGGCTTGGAATACATCCACAGGAAATACGGCGCTCTCAAATGGGCTGAAGTCATGGCACCTTCGATCAAGCTCGCGCGTTTCGGGTTCCCCGTGACTGAGGACCTGGTCCGGTACATGGACTCGACGTCTCCAAACGCATTCCTCACCCAAGACCCTTCTTGGGCCATGGATTTCGCCCCCCGGGGATGTCGGGTGCGCTTGGGCGAAACCATGACGCGAAAGCGGTATGCAAACACACTCGAGACCATTGCCAGCGAGGGCGCCGATGCCTTCTACACGGGTGCTATCGCAGACGCGACGATTCGGGCTCTCACGGCCGCCAACGGAACCATGACCCTGGACGACCTTGGGAATTACACCGTTGCCCTTCGGGAACCGGTCCAACTACAGTATCGTGGATACAAACTCACCAGCACAAACGCCCCCTCGAGCGGCGTCGTCGCTCTCAGCGCCTTGAACATCTTGAGCGGATATGACGACTTTTTAGATCCAAGCCGGTCGAATCTGTCCACACACCTCATGGATGAGGCCATGAAATTCGCATATGGCCAGCGTACCAAACTCGGCGATCCGTCCTTTGTTGCAGGCCTGGACAAGTACACCAAGGACATGATTTCTCCCCAGACAGGCGCCGAGGTTCGCTCCAAGATAACCGACCAAAAGACGTTTGACGTGTCGTACTACGACCCGGAAGGCCTCGAGTCTCTAGAAACACCGGGAACATCGCACATTGTCGCCGCAGACGCCACGGGCATGTCCGTGTCCCTGACGACGACCGTCAACCTCCTCTTCGGATCGGGCCTCATGGTCCCCGAAACCGGCGTCATCATGAACAATGAAATGAACGACTTTAGCATCCCCGGGGAAAGCAACGCCTTCGGATACATCCCCAGCGCGGCAAACTTTGCCCGGCCGGGAAAGCGGCCGCTGTCGTCCATTTCCCCCATCATTGCCGAGACGGCAGACGGCAAGCTGTATTTTTCTATTGGTTCCGCGGGGGGGAGTCGTATTATTACGGCGAATATCCAGAACGCGATCCACCTGCTGGACGGCAACATGACGGTCGAGGAGGCCCTGGGGCAGCCGAGACTCCATGACCAGCTTGTCCCGAGCCGAGTGAGTTTCGAGTACACGTACAACAACCGGACGGTGGCGTATATGAAGTCTCTGGGCTACAATGCCACGTGGGTAGCTCCGGGACAGAGCACTGCACAGGGATTGCGGCTATTGCCCAACGGAATGTTTGAGGCGGCTGGGGAGCCGAGACAGAAGAATTCTGGAGGTTTCGCAGTATAGAACGCCACATCTTCCGATGAGGGTGTGACTCAACTCATATATAGCGTCGTCAAGTAAATAGGAGTCAGTACATAGTAATAGCCATATATTGTCTATGCAACACCAAGGGCTAACTCGTCCAGCTGAATCCGTTTCAAGGTCCAAAGCAGAGACCGGTATTGATGCTGGTTTGGGCAACGCGTCGATCATCACCAAGCTTTGCAATCCAAATATGCCGGAAAATCTCCCCGCAGAGTTTGTAGGCAGCTTAGCAACGTTGTGGGACAACACGGCTAACGTTTCTGGGTCTATTAAAAAAAAGGGCGTCTCAACTTCTTGGGTGATATTTGCAACGTAGTATCCTATGCATGTGCGGAGAAAGCTTACCCCTCGCGGCCGGTGGTTTTCGCATCAACTGGATCTATCAGGCTTGATGGGGACAACTCGATTGCTGGCCCGCTATCCGTCGGCCTGTATTGGTTTGATGAGTGCGATGATTGATCAAAACCTGGTGCAGGCGTTTAGAGTAGACACCCGTGCTAGATCAAAGGCCCGCCCGCAAACTTGGGAGTTTACCATGGAAGAGACGAAACATTGAGTACAGCAGCATCGATCGGCTATGGCTTAATTGCCGACCCGTGTATCCTCTCCGTTTTTATGACATCTTACCAGTACGACTCACGGACCGTGGACAGGGTGGTGAACCGTTGGCATGGACCATCACCAAACCGTGCCTCAAATACCCATCGTTACCACTGCCTAGCTTCTAGTCTCATTCGTTATTATTAGGAGAGTCGACCAAGCGCTACTGATGTTGTGTAAATGTGCTCAAGATACACGCCAGCATGTTCAATCTTTGGTCGGCCGGGCTTGTTGCGGTCTTAGCCGCGAAAGAATCCCAAGCAGCGCTGTACCACATAAACGCCCGAGCAGATGACGATTCCGGCCCGTCAGAGTCATTCGTCAGCTTTTCTATAGAATTGTCCTCGTTTGTAGACTATGCCGGTACGTGTCGAGGTCCAAGGCTGCAGCCTCGATTGACAAACCCTTGGGGAACTTGAGCACACCAAACGCCTTTTCCTACAATTTACTGCGTAATCTCGGCAATCTGATGGGCAGCAAGCCCTACGTGCGAGTTGGGGGAATACACAAGACTATGCATTGTACAATGCGTCTCTCAAAGAAGATATCAACGGAACACATGATCCAAACAAGTCCAAGGACTATCCCACGACCATATACATTGGGGACTCGTTTTTCGAGTCATATAATACATGGCCAGGCGTCAAGTTTTCCCACGGGTTCAACCTCGCAAAGGGGGCTGTTGGTGCAGCAGGCCGGGAGACACTCGAGCGCACAGCAGCATTGGCTTGCAAAGCCTTGAGCAATGACAATCTCGACGCGTGGTAGTATGGAAACGAGCCCAACAACTACCCGACTTCTGCTCAGGGACCTACCCGTCCCAAGGGTTGGAGTGCCAGGGACTTTGCTGATGGGTGGCTCAACGGGACGCGTGGGATCAACAAGCAGATACGAAGGCATTGCCCGGAACTTGCGGATTTCGGGTTCATGGCACCGTCATACGGCGATCGTGTGAGTAACCTGAATGCTACCCAGGCTTGGGGCTATGGACTCGACAAGTATGACGGCGTCAAGTGGTATTCTGTTCACAAGTAAGTGGTGCAACACCATCATCGGTGGTCAACGCATCCAGGAAGCTGACGGGATGTCGTAACTCGTCTAGCTACATTGATGGAGCGACTTCCCCTGGTGTGACTTTGCAAGGGACATTGATGAATCACAGCCGCACCGCACCATTCGAGATGTAGATGAGCAGGTTGCGGAATACAAGCGAATTATGTCCACTAACAAGGCTGGGGCTAACCGTGCCACGCCCCACTTTTTCGGGGAAACCAACTCGCTATACTTCCAGAGTCGGTACTTAACATAGTTTTAACCATCTTCCTCCAACAAAGACCAACAAAGGCTGGGTAGCTCAATGGTAGAGCGTCTGACTTCGCAGCGAACCAGTATCATTATAGTATCATTACCCCGGAGTCAGAAGGTGTAGGTTCGAATCCTGCCCCGGCTAAATCTTTTTGTCTGGCGTTTAATATTGGAGGTCCTGCCTCCTGTGTCCTGTATTTTTGACATGTCTGCCTGTCTGTCTGCTCCGGACTGTCCAACCCGTTTGGCCCAACTCTATGGGGCGTCGACTTTATTCTGTATTCCGCGTCTGCTGGATTTAAACGCGTGTATATACACCAGGGCATAGACTATCGCGTGAGTACCTTTTTTCTCTTGTTCCCGACGACACAAAACTTGCTCTACCACAGAGCGCTGAATCACACTCGCCATCAACAGTACCAAGCATTCCAGCCAATTGACACCAACAAGACGTCAAAGAGCACCAAGGCACCTTATTACGGCAGCATCGGTGTGGCAGCTGCCTTTGGGGATCTCACAACGTCCTCTGTCAGCGTTTCTTCCATACCGATGCCATCTGACCAGGAAGCAGCGTACGCAATTTTCGAACGCGGAAACCTCAAGCGTCTCATGGTCATCAACATGCACAGATACAACACGACCAAAGACGGGGCCGGCACGGAGCCACTGCCGAACCCTCCAGGAAGAATGAGCCGGGGTTTTTCGTTTGCGGCGCGAAACCTGGCGCGGGATGTGTCGATTCGTGAACAGCGACTCATGACAAACGGCAGTGATGCTATTACCGGAGTGACGTTTGATGAGTGGAGTTATAACTGGGAGTTGGACAATGGGAAACCTGTTAGACTAGACAACGTTACGACCGGAGAGACGTTTAGATCGAAACAAGGAGTCATTACAGTCATGGTCCCTGATTCGTCTGCGGCGTTGCTTCATCTAGAGCAAGATGGTGGTGGTGGTAGTTGAAAAGACTCTGGATGAAGAGAGCTTTGGAATCTAGATTAAGTCAAATAATTTTAGTACTTGACTTTAAAGTGAAAAGGTTATGCTCCTTGTAAACTTACTGTAAGGCTAAGCAGAATACCGATGGGCACGATAGGCACTGGAACAAACGTAGCATGTTTAATAAACATGTCGTCCGTGGTTCCACATTGGAACGCGGCAGGCAACTCTCCCAGCAACCGGAAAACCCAGGCCGACACAAAGGCGAGAAACGGGTAACAAGGACAATCATGATTGGAAGCAATTGCCGCTGCAGGTCATAGTGCCTCTTTACCAGCGACGTCGCAACACAGTCATCGCTAAGCACGGCGTAAGACGTTGGCTGTCCCTAGCCACGATTGGTTGCTTCAACTGGTCGACTACCTGGCTAACCAACCAACTATGCCCAGCGGCGACCCGGATTTCTCCGCCGCCTCACCCTGCCCACGGTTGCGTGCCAATTGACAGCAGAAAATATGGAAACCTGGGGAACGAACGCCCTCGGGCTGACGTCCGGCCCGCTCCCCTCTGGGAAGCTCGGACGGTCACGGGCCACGCCGACTCTGTGCCGGTGTTGGATGGAATCTCTCCGCCTTTTGTGAGTTGTCTTTTTAAAATCCCGACGACTGCCATGTTCTGCAGAATCTTGGGAGAAGCGAACTGCAAATCGCCGCAACAAAGAAACCGTTGCGTCGCTTCTTCTTCTTCCTCCTCTTTACCATGGAGCACCCTCCACCGGCGGCGTCGTCATTCGGGCGGCGCCGTGCACAACCGGAAATGACACAGGTGACTTCTCAAACATGGTCGTTCAGCAGCACACGACAACACCAGGAACAACCACGGCAACCGCAGCCGGAAGACACCGAGGGTGAGGCTGAAGATGAGCCCTACACCAATATCCAGGTCCGCCGGGCCATTCGCACCATGAACGCGGCCTTTGACTGGACCGGCCCGGATGACCCTGACAACCCACGCAACTTCCCACTGTCCATCCGCCTCTTCAGCACCGTCGCCGTCACGGGCCTCGCAACCGTTGCCACCGTCGCCGGATCCATGTATGCGCCGGCCCAAGACGACGTCGCATCCAAATTCAACTGTAGCCGCGAATTGGCCGTTGTCCCGCTGTCCATGTACAATCTCGGCCTGGCATTTGGCCCCCTAGTCGGCGCTCCGTTGTCTGAGACATACGGCCGGAAGGCCGTGTTCCTCGTCGCCGGCCCCATCTTTGCTGCCTTCATGGTCGGGTCAGGATTCAGCACGACCTTAACCAGCCTCATCGCTTGCCGCTTCTTTGCAGGCATGTTCTCCTCGTCGCTTATTAACAATGCACCGGCCACGATTCTAGACTCTGCATCTGGAAAGCTGCGAGGCGTAAGTCTGAGTATATACTACACCATGCCGTCCTTTGGAGCTGCATTGGGTCCGTTTGTGGGCGGGTTCATCGTCCAGGCTGGCGGGTGGCAATGGACGCAATGGACGGCTGTGTTCATGGCTGTCGGCTTTTATATCCCCGTGTGTTTTACGCCAGAGACGTACAAGAGGGTGATTTTGAGAAGACGTGCCATCCGCCTTGGGCTGGATACCTCCTCGCAGAGGACGTCGCCTGGTCGAGCTTTCCGGTACTTTGCCACGGTGCTGATCCAGCGGCCGCTGCATATGCTGTTCACGGAACCCATTGTAACGCTGATTAGTCTGTACAACGGCTTCCTGTACGGATTGCTGTACACATTCGTTATTGCTGTGCCGTGGATCTTCCGAGAGTACTACGGATTCAGCAAAACGGGTGAATCACTGTCGTACCTGGGTCTGATGGTTGGCACGCTTGTTGCTTCGGCACCCCTGGTTCTCATTGATTTGAAATACTACCAGAAGCGCTTGGCTCAGTGGCGAGAAAGTCATCCTCCGAACGACGACGGCGTGGAAGAACCCTTGCCTTCGGAACACCGGCTCATCGGCGCCATGATTGGCAGTCTCCTCTTACCGACTGGCTTGTTCATATCGGCGTGGACGGCTCAGTACAAGGTCCACTGGATAGTGCCCATCATTTTCCAGAGTTGTGTGATGCTGAGCTCCCTGCTGATTTACGCCAGCGCCACCATGTTTATGCTCGATGCGTACGGCCCAATGTACGCGGCGTCGGCTTCTGGTGCCATGATGATGAGTCGGTATCTTCTCAGTACTGCATTTCCATTGTTTGCTTTGCAAATGTACAAGGCCCTCGGCGTGGGGTGGGCAACAAGCTTGCTTGGGTTTATTACCGTAGCCATGGCTCCAATTCCGTGGTGCTTCTGGGTTTTTGGTGAGCGAATTAGAAGACGCAGCAAATATGAGACGAGCATATAGAGAAGGCGTTGCTGCCGACATTTAGAATTCTAGAAGGTCTTGTGTAGTTGTACGATACCCATGATGAAAAGAGAATATCCTGCTCATTGTTGCTTGTGGCGCATCGCGTTTGAGCCTGGTTGGTGTGAAGTCGAGTTGACCATTGACATCTGGAGTCAAAGTTAATCGAGTCTGGTGCCGCACAGTGATTGGCTTGCTCGCTGGCCGTCGTCGGCCAACTACGCCGTAGTCACCCATGTACGCCCATGCTCAGTGCTGTACACCCGGAGCAATTCACGCTGTACACGCTGGAGTTCCAGGCTGAAAAAGGCCTGGCAGCACCAGACCAGACGCGCCTCGCCGGTCCGGTTCACCAGGCACCAGACCAGTTGACGTCTCTGCCAATCTCTGCGATGCCACGCCACGCCACGCGATGGGGCCCTGCGAAAAGTACCAAGGTACTTGACAGATCGCGACATGACTGTTGGAGCATCGACAATTCCGTACTCCGATTCCCATTCCCTGCGAATCGCTTCTTCCATTCTCCTCCCCTCCCCTTCCAGCCGCCCTCGTGGTTATAATTGTGGTAGCGTGGCCTGCTCTCCGTTCTAATTTTGGCTGCTGCTACCTTGTGTTTCTTCTTTCTTCGTTCCTTTCATAATTCGTCATCCCCCGTCTTTGGTCTGATTGGGTCTTGAAATCCTCTCCTTCACCCCTCCTCCCCGGTTCGTCCGAGATTGCGACGCATCGACGTCGTTGATATCTTCATCATGCCGCCGCTGATCGACAGCCCTCAGATCAAGCAGGCCGAGCTGCTGCGCCCGCTGTCCTTTCACTTCCACACCTACGTCTGGCCCTTTGCCATCATCTGGCCCATCTTCTTGCGATACTACCTGACTCCTGATCTGTACGAGGAATACATTGGTGCGCCGGAATGGACTTTCGTTTGGTGTGGCACCATCATCACTCTACAGTCGCTTGTCTGGCTTAGCACCCACTGGAGTGTTGCCTTGGAGGCTCGCTTCAAGGCTACCAGGGTCGACACTGTTGAAGACGCCCAGCTAATCAAGGTTCTGCCCATTGCCAACGCAGGCTCTGGCGAGATTTGCAAACTTGTTCGCGACAAGGTATGTCCACTCTTCTCTTTGCCCGCTCCTTCCCAGGCCTAAGCACACCAAGGTCCTCTTGGCAACTATCTAACATATATCATAATAGGTTGGTGGCAAGCTCATTACCTCGTTCCTGTTTCAGAAGCGCCGTTTCCTCTACAACGCCGAAACCAAGTCCTTCTCTACGCTCCAATATGACATCGACTCCGAGCCCAAGCCAACCATCGGCCACTTCCAGTCCTTCAGAGGTCTTGAGAAGCAGTCTGAACTCACCCGAGTCGAACAGCACTACGGTACCAACACCTTCGACATTCCCGTTCCCACCTTTACCGAGCTCTTCAAGGAGCACGCCGTTGCTCCATTCTTCGTTTTCCAGATCTTCTGCGTCGGTCTTTGGTTGCTCGATGAATATTGGTACTACTCACTCTTCACGCTGTTCATGCTTGTGGCTTTCGAAAGCACCGTCGTTTGGCAGCGTCAGCGCACTCTCAACGAGTTCCGTGGTATGAGCATCAAACCCTATGACATCTGGGTGTTCCGTCTTGGAAAATGGACCGAGATTCAGACAGACGCTCTTTTGCCCGGCGACCTCGTCTCTGTCGACCGAACCAAAGAGGACAGTGGTGTAGCTTGTGACATGCTTTTGGTTGAAGGAACAGCCATCGTTAACGAGGCTATGCTTTCTGGAGAAAGCACTCCTCTCCTCAAGGACTCTATCCAGCTGCGTCCGTCTGACGCTGTGCTGGATCCTGAAGGACTAGACAAGAACGCCTTCCTTTGGGGTGGCACCAAGGTTCTTCAAGTTACTCACGGCAACCCCGAGCAAGAGAAGCCAAAACTATCGTCTCACGTTCCAACTCCTCCTAACAACGGCGCCATGGCTATTGTTACCAAGACTGGATTCGAGACCTCTCAGGGCAGTCTTGTTCGCACCATGATTTATTCCACCGAACGCGTTTCGGCCAATAACTTTGAGGCCCTTCTATTCATCTTGTTTCTCTTAATTTTCGCAATCGCCGCCTCTTGGTATGTTTGGGACGAGGGTGTCCGCAAAGACCGCAAACGATCCAAACTTCTGCTCGACTGCATCTTGATTGTCACCAGTGTCGTTCCCCCGGAATTGCCCATGGAGCTCAGTCTTGCGGTCAATACCAGTCTGGCCGCACTTTCCAAGTTGGCTATTTTCTGTACCGAGCCCTTCCGAATTCCCTATGGTGGCCGTATTGACGTTGCTTGCTTCGACAAGACCGGTACCCTCACCGGCGAAGATTTGGTTGTCGAAGGCATTGCTGGACTTGGCCTGGCCGACTCAAATATTGTTGATACAAAGGAAGCCGACGGAGCTCACTCCACCATGGTGCGTGTGACCGAGGCCAGTGTTGAGACTCAGCTCGTCCTCGCCACTGCCCATGCTCTTGTCAAGCTTGACGAGGGCGATATTGTTGGTGATCCCATGGAGAAAGCTACCCTGACGTCCCTTGACTGGGGTCTTGGTCGTAACGACATCTTGGCTAGCAAGAACAAGTATAGTGGTGCCCAGGGAACCGTACAGAT